AACGATTTTAATGCAACTAGTTTTCCTGAATTTTTCCAATTTGCACGATATACGTTTCCGAAAGCTCCAGTACCAATATGTTGAATATTATTAAATTCTTCATATTCATAAAAATTTAAATATTCTTTATCAACAGCTTCTTCAATCCAATTGATCCATTCATTTGTATTATTTGTATTTTCGGTATCTTGCATTTTGATATTATCGAACGTATTGAATAATAATAAGCTAACAGAAAGTTTTAAAAAAAAATGAGAAGCAAAAATTGTTAAAGTTTTATTGTGTATGCCTATTATATAAATTTTTTTCTCCAAATAGTCCAAATAGTCGCACAACGTACAGCGTGATTTAATTTAGTATTACCAAACAAAAAAGTCAATCAGCAGCCATGGTACCGCAGTACCGCAGCAGAACCGCAGTAACTTACATATAATAACGTCCGTTAAAATTTATTATTTATTTTTTTGCAAGATTTAAGAAAATTTTTTTTCTATAAAAAAATAAATCTGTTAAGAGATTATCAAAAAAAAAAAAAATTATGATTTTTTTTTAACTTTAGTCTTACATACGAAATAGTTAAAAGTTTGTTAGACTTGAAATCAATTTATTTATTATTTTGATGGTCAGATGACTCTCAAACTTCCATTCGAAGATAACGAAGATAAATCTGAAGGTATATTGAAAAATACTATAACTTGTATTAATATTTTCAATTAAAAGTATTATAAGTCACAATTATTTTCGGTTCTATTATTAGAATATATACAACTTTTTTCATAGAAAGAAAATCATGATAAATAAAATTTTTTATTACGTTATTTCACTTATTTGAATAAAATTGAATAAATGATTCCTATCACAATCATTCCAACAACATATTTGGAATTTTTTTTAAAATGTTTTATTATAAGATGAAAGAAAGAGTATTCTATTTATCAAAAAGTATCATTACAAAGTTTACATTTATATTGTTGTTTAGAATAATATAAATATAATAAACGTTGCCTTTTTTTAAAAAAAAATTTAGAGGTTTTTTTTCATTTCTTTCATATTGAGAAAGTTTCAATTTCCAAATTAGAAATTTTCCATTCATCAATTAAATGAATAAGGAGGATTATGATTTACAGCCAATTTTTTTGGTAAAATATATTATCAAATTTTGTTGCTATCACACTGTTAAAACTTCAATATTTGAAATATTTGAACAAGTTATTTTAATTGTATAAAAATATTATTCGATTAACGGTAGTGATAGAGTAATAAAATTCAGTAAAGAAAGAATTTTGAGTTTTAGTAAATAAATTCTTTTAAATTATTAACATCAACACTATTTTCATTTTAAACAAACTATAAATTGCACTTACATTATATTAACATTGTAATTTATCTTCGAAACTGAATTTCTGCTGCTTTTTGACACCAATGAAAGGCTTTTGAATTTTCAGATTCTATATTTTCCACACAAAATTCAAAAAACTTGTTATAGCCGGAACATTTTATATTTTCTAACGGTCATGTGACTATATTAATTAAGCCAATTTCATAGTATTATCTAATTTTTTTATAATTCTGGCCAGCGCTATAAATTTGACCTAAATTACCCAGAATCGAAAACTCGTTCAGTATATTTATATCTAACGGATTCAAAAAAAATCGAAAATGAAAAAATTATCATTATGCCAAATAATCTTAAATTAAAAATAATATTACTATTATAATCTAATTTATACTCTACTTTTGCCAAAATTTGATTTATCTTCTTTTATAAATCACTTACATAAAAAATAATCCATCAGTAAACGATTTATAAATTATTATAAAACTAACGCTAATTAACGTTTTAGATATGAAACTCTAATGTTATGAAAAATTAAATTCTTAGACTTTGAACGATTAAAAGTTAAATTTTATTTAATTGGAAAATAAGTGAACGAAGTTATATCAGGAATGTAGTTATATTAAACTTCTACAAATTTAAATTACTGATATAGTAAATATTTCAATTTAAAAAATATACAATGATAGTATATACAGAA